AACCACAGCAATGATTTACCACCTCATTTCTTTTTTAATTTAATGGCTCCGTTCATTCATAAAACAGAAATACAAGGTGAAACACAGAATGAAATTTAAACACCTCATTAGAGTTACATATTATTTTGTCTACTAAATATATTGCTTTGTCAATGAAACATGGTGGTTTATATGGGATCTCACCAGACTGTTGCTTTACAGTTATTTGCTTCTACTTTCCATGTTTGCTTTAGCTGTGCAGTTTTCTGATCTCCATGTACTTTTTGGTGAAATATTCCAACAACATCATAATAATTTGCAAAGTATTTGTACTGACTTCAGTACAAACAAGTCAAAGTGACAAAAAAATCATAACAAAAAGAGACCAAATGCAAACTTACAAATATTATCCGCAGAAGTTCTCCTCCACCCCAAACATGTGTGAACTGAGGCAGGGCTTGGGGAGGGAGAAACCACTAGTTCTCACATTTCAGTTTAGTTTAGAAAAAAAGCAATTGCCAAACATATTTGATCACCATTTGTCATTTCCCACCATCCAGATGGGATTCATTACAACTCAGACCGAGGTAATTAAGTGGACATATCTAATCCATAAACATTCTTTAGACAAAATGACTTCTTGGGTTTCTAACCCTTTGAAGACAGAAGTGACATGATTAAAGCAAATCAGCATTTAATGAATGGAGAAAACAGACTGACTTCTATGAAATGGCCCTTTTTGTATTCAAGCTACTTTTTCTTCAAATTTTACAGAAACTTGATTTAGTCCAAATGTCTGGTTGAGTTTGGAAGACGGGAATTAGGCGGAATTTTACATACAGGACAACCATGATGAAATGTGCCACTAATCCTCCAATAAATAATAAGCAATCTAATAACTCTGCTAAATGCTACTTTATGCCCTGCAAAGGCACTGGAGAGGGAGGCAGAGCACCCCAGGAACGCACACGGGAGTAGCTCATTGCATCTCAGTAAAAGCTCCTTTTGCAGAACATAAGAAAGTAGTAAAGCAGGAACAGCATTTCACCATTTCTCAGAAACTGCATGATGGTAACTTGTGTTGTGCTGACTAATAATCATCCCACTATCCCTCCTAAAGGATGGTATAAATCCGAGGTATGTCTGAAAATAGCATGTTTAATACATTTCCAAAGCACAATTTTCCTTTCATTAATGAAATTTTAAGATTTTTCAACAGCTGTTTCTAAGTTACTAGAACCCTACATATCTGAACTTGAAATCCCAAAGCATTTTTAGCTAGTTAAAGAGCTGTGCAACAGCAAGGTCAGGTTAAATTTTATTCATTAGGCCCACTTATTCTACTGAAAAAAAAATAACATGACAAGACTCTATTTGCAACTATAATAAAAGCAATAATAACACTGGCAAGTTCCCCTAGTTTCACGTTTCATAAATTGGAATCTTTCTTGGCCAATCAGAGTAGCATTACTTTCTATTTTGAGCCTTTTTCATAAAAGCAATACAATTAAGCTGGTAAATCAATAAATGAGAGATGATCAACTTCTTTTCTTTTTAATTTCAAAACCAATGTAAACCAATATTACTGGCATATGCTAAGGAACAATAATTTCTGGTACATAAAAATCAACATAAATCTAAGGCATCCAAGTGCTCTGCAAATTAATCCATATATTTATGTACAATGAGTAATTCTCACTGAAAATATACTTAACAGAAACCAATAGAGCTCTCTGACATAACAGTATATTATACCTGTAAATCAATGTACTTTCTATACTGTATAATCTAATAACATCAAACAATGAGATTTTTATGCAAACTCACATATTTCACCCTTAATATGATCTATTGCAAACAAACATTGATCTACCCAGAACAATACTAGGCAATAATATTCATACCACTCACTGTGCATTTAGAATTTCCTATAGAGAAGAGATCAGCACTGCACAGCATGCACACGAAACCTATTACAACTGGAATTTTTATCAAAGTTTTGCACGTTATTTTGGGCTTCAGAGATCCTCTGGGTTGTCCGTCTTCTGAACCTCTTTGCTAATTCACTTCCTAGCCCAGTGGAAATGTTATGGGTAGGAAGAGAAAAGCTAAAGTCATAGCACAGAAAATGAACAGCAAATGCTCTTTCCTCAGGTAAAAACCCCTCAGCCCAGAATAAATCTCTAAATTCTGATCCAACAGTCACTTCAGTGACCAGCATAGCAGGAGAACAGACACGAGGACTATGGAAGGCTGAAGACAGAGTTTTCTGCTCAGAGGCTGCAGTCGTGTTGAAGAGCAGGGAGAGTCGATCATGTTCCTGTCTTATCTAGTCCTGCTCCAGCTATTTCAACATTCAGCTTCAAGGGCACCAACTATAGAAACAGCAGCAACAGGGCACACATTGGGCAGTCCACAGCCTATTACCTTGACCAGAAGTTTGGTAGCCCTAACATCAAGTTGGAACAAGAGCAGTCAGGGGTATCTCCGTGTGATAGATAGTTGTGTTTCTGCACCACCAGACATGAATTTGTAACATAACACATAACTACACGTAGAAATATATTCCCACCATCCTACCTATGGCCTTGGATAGTCAAAGCCACAGGACTCCTACATCTCCCCTGTGTTTCTGCTACCCTCCTGGCTATCCACCCACACCAGGCGTTCAAAGGGGCATTTTGCCTTTTCACCCAACAAAAAGATGCCAGAAGCTGAGCAAGTGAACAACACGGTCAAGAGCACTGTGAGATACACCAACCATGTTATCCAGCAACCAAGAACAGCCTCCAGACTCAAACTGAACTACAAGTGGTACTCTTATGTGCACGGAATGAACAAGGCTGACTTTTTTCCTCCCCATCAAAATTCCTTTCTATTAAGAAGATACCTCAACATTTATCTTTTATCCTTTTTAGAAATTTACCAGAAATATTAGCAAAAGATTTACATTACTCATTTAAAGATAAATGTAGTCTCCTTCAATAAAAAATTAATCAAAAACATCTAAAATTTAGTTAACACTTACCCAAAGTACCTTCCAAGGGAGAATAGCTAAAGACACACTCATTTTTAAGTGAGTAAAAGAAAGCACAGGAAACCAAAATCAGCATGACCTTCCCAAGGTCATCAACAAGCCAACACTTCACCAAATCAGCCTCTGCAACAATAGGGGCTTCACAGACTTCAGATAAGATCAAAAAAATCAAAGAGGGTTTTGCTTTAAAAAACCTACCAAACAAAAATCCCTTGAAACAGCAGGTATTGCTCAGGACTGTTACTTCAGACCAGCCTCACCAGACAGAGACAGAGCAGGTGAACTCAGCTCCCAGCATCCTGGTGCCTTTTAACCAGGTGCCATGGGTTGGCCAAACAAGACCATGCTCCAGTCATCCCCAGGTTTTTCTAATTAGAGCATCCTACCAAGGCCCACACTAGCCTTGCCCACAGGTGGGGCCAGTATCATTAGAGCTGCAAGGCCTGCACCCAATGGTCTCCATGGGCTCTTCTGCCCTGGGCTGAGGGCATTAATTGCTTGGGGCAGGCAGGTCTCCCTTTGAGGTCTCCATTTTAAGCATGGGTCAGTCTTGGCAAGACAAGCTACTTGTCTTATCTTGTCTTGGCCAAACAGCTACTTGGGACCCACTCCACTTCAAGCCTGGATCGCCCTTACTGTTTTCTGATTGAGTTTGCAGACTTCATCTTTTTGTTCTTGATTTACAGTTTCACAATTGCCAACCTAAGCAGGAAAGCAGTCTAATAATAACAAAGGAGCTATTCTTGCCAGACCAAACACCTAAGCCTAATTATTGATATTAGCTTTTAGTGGCATCAGAATGAAATTCTGATTTCCAGCAGCAACCTAATGCTGTGTGTGGTGGGGTCAATTTATCACAGAAGAGGGAAAAATGGTACATGCTGTCATATCATGTATCATATAAGTATCAAAATTGCTATGGAAACAGTGCACTTTTTATAGAGTAGGCACATAAAATTCACATAATATGTCAGAGAATAAGTTACTACTGTCCTGAGGCTGTAATAAGATCTACACCCTTATTAGTGAAAAGATTTGACAGATTTTGTTTATAATGAATACTTGGAACCAATGAGTTTGAGTCAAAGTCACCCTACATGACCCACCACTTGGTTTTTGGTTTTCATCTCCATCAGATTCAGTGAGAGAGGTGAGGAATATAATTTATAATGGTTATTAGAGGGTCCATAGTCATTTGTGATATGTTGCTGTAAGTGACTATACCCAGGTATCACATTAAAAACTATCAGGAGTAAATAACTTCTTAGCCTTTGACTTCTTTTCTTGCGCTCTGTGGTTCTATTGCTAGCATTTATCTGCTTTATTTACAATTTGTAGGAAGACACAAAGTAGATTAAAATTCAACTTGATATGAGAGCAAATAGAAGAAATTATTTTTCAAGCATTCTGCTGTACTTATTTCCTGTGAATAGCCCGAACGTGGCAGCTCTTTGCCACCCTGTTCCGTGTGTGACATGTTTCTTGCTGATTGACAGCAGCTCTGATGGGTTAGGCTGGAGAAAAATGAGCTTGTTTAGGAGAGCAGAAGATAGCACAATTAGGTTTTGCAGTCCGGTGATGTAGTAACTGGTAAAAGAAAGCAAAGTGGAGAAAATTGGTTGTACATGCAACACCCTTGGGTGCAAGGGTACATTTATCACCATGTTTTATATGACACAGTGGATGAATGTTGATGAAGACTGTCAGCATCAATGTCAGTGCCAGCATTTCAGCAAATAAAAGAGTTTGTATTAAAACACTCTCCACCAGGTTGAAATTCATATGATTACTTTATAAATAAACAGCCAGCAGCAAGGGAGAAGCAGGTAACTGTTGATTAAAGATCATTTTGTGACTCTGAAGTGGTGGGTTTTCACTGACAGGAGGAGGAGCACGCGGTGAGTGTGCAGCGATCAGACAAACTGAAACCCTTTACAATAATACAGGCATTAATAAAACCTGCATAAAATGAATGTACTACTGGCAATAATCAGAGTACCATCTCAGAGGTGCGCAGTGGAAAGAAAAGGACTGCAATGTATGTAAAAATAGTAAACATTACACTGTTTTAAGTAGTCCTTTACTATTAAGCCACACCACATCAACTAACAGAAGTCTGGGTTTATGGACAGCATCTTCATCCTAAGGGGGAAGCAATTCCTCAAAACCAGAATTGCTGCAAACCCTACCAGCTCCTGCAAATAGCCCTCTGTTTCCTATTTAATAAAGCACCTGCCACAAAAATCCAGAACCTAATGCAGAGCAAGGATTACTTGGCAGCACCTGGGAAAATTCAGCAGAAAACCTAAGCAAAGCTCCATCTTTGCAGACAACTGGAGAGCAAGGGTGGACGTTCCCATGAGGGAACGGCAGCTCCACGGAGGTGTTTCCTGAGCTCCGTCCTGCCAGGACGAGGCTGCAGAGCAGTGCCTTGCGTCCCGGTGTGAAAGGCCACGTTGGTGCCTCTGCGTTACAGTCACAGGTATGGCCACCTCCCGCTGCCTTCTGGTGGTCTCTGCTGGCTGCCATGGAGGGACCTTTAGCCAAAAGGACCTCCAGACGGAGTGGTGAAGGCAGGAGCTGTCCCTTCAAACCTTAAACAGCAGTTACAAAAAGGGCTAACCTCTCCTCAAATCAGGGAGGCTCTCCTGGCTGCTCTACCTTGGTGGAAGTGCCTTCGTTGACCCTCCATTGCTCACATCCAGCACGGCATCGTCCAAGCTCTCATGGGCTCCTCAAGACCTGGGGAGATATCTATAGATATAGATATAAATATGGATATAGATATAGATATGTGTGTGTGTTCATGTGCTCACATGTGCAAGTCTCCACCCTCCTTATCTTCAGAACTGAGCTCTTCTCAACTCTGTGTCTGCTGACCTGAAGGAAGAACGACTGATGAGCTGTAACTCTGCATTAATGAAGAGGGAGTGATTCGTTTTGACCATGTAACAATTTAAAGTTTCATTGGGGAAGGTTATCTCTTCCTATACAAGGGAAAAAAAACACATAGATTCATTTTTTTAATAAAACATTTGCTATTAAAATCTGAGGCCTCATCATATTTTTCATTAGCTACAGAAAACCAAACTTTTTAAAAAACGTTTCTCTGCAAGTTCATTTTAAGGATTTAAATTTTTATGAATGTCATCCTTGCGTGTATCTGTATCCTCTATTAAATGCAGAGCATTCACGTTTCACGTATTTAAGGGAATTTAATGAGTTTAATAAACTTAAAGGGATGTTATGTCTGTTCACTCTGTAAAGATTGTTTATTTCGGGAAATAAACCATTTTGAAATGAGTAATATGACTTTTAAAGTTATGACTATCTCATTCAATTAGTTTCTGTAATTATTGCCATTCTGCACAGTATATGCAGTACTGAAGGAGAAAATACATTTTCAGGAATTACCGTGTAGGTGTACAACTGTTACTGTTAATGAGCCATAAACTTTCGTCTCCCGCTCTGTAAATTCAGGCAGGTGTAATGTAATTTGGTAAAATAAGTTGACAGTTACAGTTGGACAAATAACAGTGTATTTTAATATTTGCTATGAGATTGCTATTCCCCAATGCATTTTGTAGAATTTATTTTTTCTCCGCATTTTAGAGCGCCATCATAACTTTTTAAAAATATGTTGCAGTAGACTCAAGCGAGATCAGAATAATAGAGTTCTCCTTGCTCAGATACATGTTATCTGAATAATAGATAAGGAAGTTAGAGGAATTTCCTCTTTTACCTAGTTTATCCTTCCTAGATTTCACGGACATACTAAAGAACAAGTTGAACGTAAGCCTAGACCTTCCCAACTCATGCACTTAGGCTTTGTCTATGGTAGCAAGTAGCTTAGATAAACAGGAATATATCTATGGAGTGAAACAGTGGGTACTGAGGTCCAGAAACCCATGCTATGTGCCATGCCCATGCACACGCACGTGTATAAAAATAGTATCTTTAGTCTAAAGTCATGGTCAATATTCATCACTGCCAGATTCTGAATGGGAATCAAATGGAGACAATGCAAAGGAGAGGTAAAATTTGATGGCAAGCACCATGTCCTGCAAAACAGGTGAAGAGAAGCTGTGTTGATTCTCTCTTATCTATAGCTGAGGCTGGAAGGTCTGGCAGCTCTGGGAGGTGGCACTCAGCAGCTCGCCTGGGTGTGCTGTGATGAACGGCGAAGAGCTCCTGTGCTGCTCTGCGCAGAGCACGAGAGAATATTCATCACTGGAAAACGACAAGAATCAGACTGCTGTCATATCACTCACTGGAAAACTCTGATCACTAGTTTCACTGCTTCAAGCTCAGGAAATAACTGTTGACAGTTTTAAACTAGCAAAGAGCAACAGCCATATTCTTTATTCTCAAGTTACATTTTTTCTCGGCAACCCCTAGCAGTTGTGTGTAGCCTAGCGGAGGCTTAAATTCAATAAAAGGCAATTTTCACTGGATCTTTCACCATATGAATATTACAGCTGCGAGAAATACCATTAGCTCTGTGACTGCCATACCCTGCCTACGTGCAGGTTGCTCTGAAGAGCCCCTTTGCTGCTTCTCACCACCAGTGGTTTCCTCAGTACAAGTCATTTTTGCCTGTTTCCTTCTTGGGCTGTGCCAAGGCAGAAAAGGCAACCTCTTCCAGCAGTGGAAAGGCACTTCAAACATATTCTATATTATATCTATATTATCCAAAGAAATCATGGCACACTAGGGATAAACTTAGAAGAGCAGGTAAACTTGGTAACCCTAGGCATACAGCTCAGAAACACAGTTCCTAACTTCTGTTTCACTATGAAGTCAGACAAAATGGATACTTTAAAACAATAATCCATATTAACATCTTGTTCAAAAAAAGCCCAACTATTTTGATCTTTAGTCAACTGTCATTAAAAAATTATCCTGCCCTAACAATATTGCTGTTTCCACAGAGCCTTATTTATTGGTTGGCCTGCAGTGTGATTTGAATACACTCTGGCCAAGTTTCCTTTGGAATTTCTGCATTTTTTTCCAAGATCTTTTTACAGTGAGTTGTGCTTTCCTGGAAAGTAATTGCTGTGCTACACAAAAATTGTATTTCATCTCTCCCCTAACTCACAAAAACAAACAAGAAAAACACCCAGCCCAAAGGAGACGCAAACTATTCCGCACCGTCTTGGTGCTTCTGAAACACATGCACTCTGTCTTCAAGTCCTCCCATATTTTCTTCCTGCAAGCTCTCAGAGATAACAAATGACACATTTAGAGGATGATTGAACACTCTACAAATGTTAACAGTGGAGCAGCCTACAGTTGCTCAGCACAGCTGGGACTGTAATTGTGATGCATTGGGAAGCTTGGTGGCATTCGATGGCCCTCGCGCTTCCATAGGAGACGTGCAGTCACACCAGGCACGGTGGGCAAGCACCTTCTTTAGGGTTTATTCCCCCTGCAACATGACCATTCAACCAGAGCTCTCTCCTGCCCTCCCATTAGTCAGTGCAGTAACTTTTGGAAGCCCCAGACAAGGCTCAGGACTCTCAGATAATGCACAAAGACCAAGCAGAGACCGATAGCTTATTGGGCTCTCTTACTTCACCACCTTCTGTTCACTTTGCACTAACCCAGAGGCCACGTGGCAAATGAATTTTGCCCGATTAAAGTACGAGGAAGCACCAAGAAAAGCTTTTTCAGCCTCCCAGAGGAGCAGTCCCTTGAGATCTGACCTCTCCTTCCCTGCCTTTCTCTTCAGGTAGCCTGCAAACAAATCAAACTGCTTGTGGCACTGGAAGGAGCCACATCTGCCCCTGCTTCCCAAGCATCCTATGGGAAGGGCCACCCCAGGCCGAGCAGGGCCTGACCCAGCAGGGAAGCAAGCAGGGGCGGAGGGCTTTGGGATGCTCATTTTCACTGCTCACATAGCTCACGTGAGGTGGAGGAAGGCGGGATGGCAGATGCTCCTTCAGCCCATGAGCTCAAGGGACAGCTCCTCAGGGGCTCTGTGGTGCCCTGGGCCTGAGATGGTTCCCTGAATCTCCTCCCTGCTTTGCTGTCACGCTCCACTTGAGGAAAACATGGAGAGCAGGAATCCGCAGAACTCGTGTCACATTTGGGGTGAAAACTCCCAACTCCTCCTTCCTCTGTCCATTAAATTACAATTCAGTGACCTGCTTACCTCAGAACACACCAGGACTGCTTTTCAAGGCACAGTCGCTGTTCCTGTGGAATTTAAATGTAAAACACCACAACTGGGATTAAGCAGAGGAAAAATACGACTTCTCTGAATTGTCACAAATCTTGACACGTTACTATTTTTGTTATTCACTCAAGAGCTTTCAGGCATCCATTATGGCAGCAGACAAACTGTGCCCTGAGGGTGGATAATTAATATAAGCTAATGGATCCCACTCTGTGTGTCTCAAGAACTGAGCTCCTAAAGACAAATTTCATTTTACCAAACAAAGCTTATTTACGGGAAGTGCTTTGCCATAAGATCATGCCCACCCCGTCTCTACCATGTTGTGCTTTATGTCTTCTCCTATCACGTGAAATCTCCTGCAAATTTTACACTGTTTTTACTGCACGTTCATACAAATAATGAATATAATATTAAATAAAAGCGCCTCAACACATACAAGCATTTTTTAGCTAAAGCTCCTTTTATGTGCAAATATACCCAACAAAGCAATTTTGTCGTATCCGACAAACTAGATTTAAATAAATAAATCGGCCTCTTTTATGTCTGAAAGTGGAAACACACTTGAGTCCTACTTGAGATAGAGCCAGAGCAGCGGCTGGTGCAAGAGTTAAGAGCAAGCCCAGGTATTTTTGCAGAGCAGACACAGGGGCTCCTTCAGATTTTTGTGCCTACCCAGGGAGTCCCAGGCAGCAGAGTGCCAATACACAGAATTATCAGCACATCAAAGGCATTATATTTATCAAACCCTGCCACAGCACATTTACTAGCTGTATGATGGATGTTGTTGTAGCAGGCAAGAAACACTTTGATGTACATGGCCTTCTTTGATTAATGAGGGCTCTTGCTGAGAAGCTGCATATGGAGTAAATTACTCTTTTCAAAAATGGCTGATTTGCACTATTGTACTAATTATGTCACGAGCTCGGAGTTGGTTTCAAATTCAGTCACCCAAAATAAAGAAACGGAAACACTCCTGCATAGCTCACGCTCTTGTCATACGCACACACACACACCAGCTCAAACTCCTACATGAAATAACATACAGTTTGTTACCCTTGCAAAGGAAGCACTGATAAATTTTCTCCACTATTAAAATCTAGTCCCAGATCTGCTACTCTGTAAAAAACCACAAACTTCTGACTTCTGTTGTATTTTTAAGAGCAATTTAAGGGACTATGGAAATGTTTTAAACCTTCAACCATCCTCCTCCTTACTCTCAAAAAAAAAAAAAAAAAATGTAGGAGGAACCACAACACACAAAGTGCACTTCTTAAAAGCATTTTCTAGATTAATTCTTACCAGCTACTGAAATACTGCAAAACCAAAGTTATTCCATTAGCCTCAGATCCCTAAGCATTACTATGATGGCCTGTGCTGCCTTAAGCAATTTATCCACTTAGCTGTTAAGAAAAGAAAAAGAAAGAAAAATGGAGCATTTACACAGTGTTACTTTCTTAAAGTTTAGAATGGTAAATATTTTATCATGCTAATTAAGCATGGTTTGTAGACTCCATTTTGTTACCACAGATGGCCACACCAAAGTGTTACTTGGGCTAGCACAGATCAAACCAATTTTTAACATGGAACAAATGAGCAAGACAAAAAAGGAAAAAAGAAAAAAAAAAAGGTGTTCATGCATGTGGGTGAGATTTCACTAAGTGAAATTAGTTGGGTGAAATGATTTAAGTGGACTTGCTCTTAGAAAGTTTCAGCTGGATACAATTTTGGTTTCATAATTCAAAACTCTTTTACAACACTTTTCTATGGTTGGATGACAACAGACTCATTTCACTGAAGAGAAA